TCTATCTATCTATCTATCTATCTATCTATCTATCTATCTCTTTGTCTCTTGCCCTTTCACGGAAAGAAGAGGTATCAGGATGGCAAACCGGCCGAAGCACCTCTCCGCCTCCCCTTCGCCCTTCTTCTCCCGCTATTCTCCCCTCCTCCTTCCCCTTCTTCGTCCTTCTCTTCCTCGACCTCCCACATCCCGATCGCTTCACTACTCACCAAATTTGCAAACTGAGAATGAATATGCCGCTAGAACATGGGAAGATACACCGCCATATGTTTTGTCTTTTGTGCATGTGGTGAGTAGTGGAGCGAGGCCCTTCGCGTCTTGAGGAATGAAGTTACCTCTCCCCTCCCCTCCCCTCCCCTTCCCTTCCCATTCATCCTTTTACGATACCCCTCCCCGCTCCCTTCAACAAAAAAAAAAAGAAAAAAAAGAAAAAAGAAAGAGTGAAGAAAAACAGGGGGATTGGGCGTCAATATCAGGATCCGTACAGAGTCTAGTACAGACGGAAATCAGGCTATGAGCCGTGCGCCAGTACCTCAACATTCGACAGGTATGTGGACTGACGATGGACCAGATTCATTCGGACTCATCGAGCGTTTCAATGTAGTGGAACCGGAAACAAGTCCAGATACATGATTTCGAATGTTGTGCGTGGAGGGAGGCACTATTATCTTCTTTTCCTTTCTTTTTCTTTGAAGAAGAAAAGAAAAGAAAGGAAAAGAAAAGAAGGGAAAAGAAAAGAAAAAGCCTTGGAAGGAGATCACTAAGCACAAAAAAAAAAAACAAAAAAAAAAACACCTGTAAGCGTAGGAATCAGCAAAATGGAAAGTTCAACGAATGAGACCTTAACACCGTGGTGGTCCCCACCAATGGAATGGAGCCATCGAGCTGCGCAGCTAGCAACCTGCTGAGCACTCTTATCATTCACCGGCCAGTTGGCTGTTATACAATTGAAAAAAAAAAAAAAAAAAAAAAAAACCCGACAAGCCTCCTGCAATTTTCATTGCAGCACGAGCAATGTTCTCTATGTTTTTTGTCGAGGAAAAAAACGGAAAACCAAAACCTCTATTCTTTTTCGTTTTTTTGGGACTAGAATTATTTTGGTTATCTTTTTATTTCTTTTTCAACAAATATAAGTACAATCATGGTTTTTGCTATTTCTGTCTTTTCTTTTTTGCGCATAAACATCCGATGCGCATTGGAAGAAAAACGGAACTGTCCTCTCTCGCTCCCTCTACGCCGAGTCTACGGTGCCACCACGCCCCGAGCGAGAGAGGCCATTTCCATTTGAGTTACGGCAGCGTAAATCCGGAATGCGAAGCGCTACCGTGACGTATCTTGAAGGACTAGAATTTCTGAGAAACACTCAAATTTGAGTTACGACAGTGAAAATCCACACTTTTTTTTTTTTTTTTTTTTTTTTTA